GCCCACCCCATTTAGCCTCAATCAGTGTAGCCTCTGATGCAACTGTGGAATCTCCCTTACCTTGTCTTTGGCCTAGTGCTGCTATCATTGCAGCAATAGGAGAAGAGGTGCTACCAGGCATATTAGAACATAGGAAGTTGCCTTATACAGAGTCAGCCCATCCATTTAGTTCAGTTCTATCTACACCAGCTGGCAGTGGCTCTCTGGGATTTCATGCAGTATTTCACACAGGAAGCAACGGATTGAACCTGGAAAGCAGATGCTCTCTCAGTGAGCTATGGCACTTCCCCATAGAGTTTGGATGCCAAACTATAGATTGTGGCTCCTACAGTGTTCTAGCCATAATGTTCTGTTGTTGGATCTCAGATAACACATGTATAAGGCCTGTGTGCCTTGTGGCAACAATGGTGCTTGATCAGAGACAAGGTATGAGAGATGCTGGAGGCCATGGACTGAGGCAACAGGCCACATGCAGTCCATAGGCTGCAGGTTGTTCTGTCCCAAAGGCTGGAGCACCAAGTTCTCCTTTGCAAAGCAGGTCCTAATGGCTGGGCTGCAAGCGGTTTCCCATAACAGTGCTTTGCAATGCAGAGCTGTATGAGCCCTAGCTATTAGGGCTTGCTTTGTCAATTGATACACAGAATGGAATCCAGAGGAAAGTGGGTAACTACCGTACATTGTGCCAAATGATCACACTAGTGTGCACCCAACTGACATTTTGGTGGGAAGAACAAGGCAGCATAAAGAGCTCTGCATTTCCCTGTTCACCCAAACCAATGGCTTCAAGTTACAAGCAAGGAGATTCCGACTAAACATCAGGAAGAACTTTCTGACGGTAAGAGCTGCTTGACAGTGGAACGGACTCACACGGAAGGTGGTGGCCTCTCCTTCATTGGAGGTTTTTAAGCAGAGGTAGGATGGCCATCTGTCACAGAAGCTTTAGCTGAGATTCCTGCAGAGCAGGTTGTTGGACTAGATGGTCCTCAGGGTTTCTTCCAACTCTACGAGCCTACAATGCAAATAAATGGGGGGGATAGGGGGAGGAAAGACCCTTTGCTGCTACAGCATGTTGGTTCTCTTTAAATTAAAAAAGAGCAGGAGAAAAGGTGTTTTCTTTACCCTTTTCTGAAACAATTCATGCTTTGCTCTGCACCATGAAGCCCACCAAAATGCCTCCCACAGTTTGAACCTGCAAAGTAGGGTGGGGAATTTTTGACTCCGCTCTGGATTAGACTAGATTAGAACAGTCAGCAGTGTGTTTGGTCCTCTGGCTGCTTCAGTCTTTAAGTAGGTGTGCAAGGTTTGTTTGAGGGCAGGCAGGTTTCCACTTAAAGCTATGCGCTCCAAATCCCTCCCTCCCTCTGCAGAAGCCCCATATATACTGATCATTTCGAACCCCTAAATGTTCTCCTATTCCTGATGTAGGCACACAAAAGCTAGAGCCCACCAGCCTTTGGTTGAGCAGTAAATTAACGTCCTTTTATTTTCCTTTCTAAATCCATTACATATAAAATCCATATCAGTTGGTGGCTTTCATCACACAGGCATCTGGATAAGTGTTTGGAGATGCTTGTATCCTACATAGATTTTGCAGTTCCTCATGACTGACTTTATATGGGATATTTACACAGTACAAGATAAAATACATATTTAGGGCTGTTAAAAATGGACACATAATTTTTCATTATTTCATCAGTAAAAGTGAGTTAAATTATTTATCATTTGCCAGCTCATGAATAACATTTGTGTAAAATATTGTAAATATGGGGCTGAAAAAGGGTTGTGCTCACCTTGTGCTAGTAAAAAAAGATAACCAGCAGTGAAACCTAAGTCTGTAAATGGATATGCATAAGTTTGTTGCTTTCATAATTGTGTGTTTCCCACATAGTTCATGTATTGCATATTTCTTTTCCATCATTTAAGCATTTTTCCTTTGTTTTGCCTTATGTTTGGTTTTCTTCCATCATAAATATAAGCATTTTGGAATCAGTGAATGTGCTATCCACTTGTATGTGCTCCCAGTATTGTTAATCCAGCTTGCCCAAGCCAATGACACATGAAATAGGTTTTCCCCATTTGTTTGCAAGTATATCTTAATCTTTGCTATAGAATGCGTGTGCAGGTCTTGTGACCTACCAAGTCAATGGCATCCTTCCAGTTCTATAAGGCAGTCTGCTACTACTAGGAGCTCAATAAATGTCCTAGTTCTGCTGTTTGCCTGGGCAAAAAAAAAGGTTGTAAACACTGGTGGTCTGCTTTCACCTTAACGGGTCACAAGATGCAGGACTGCTGCGGCCAAATAGTGGTATTGCAGTAGCTGAGGAAACTTGTTTAGCTGGAACAATTTAAAAACACTCTTAAATGACCTTTTGCAGTGCTTTGCTGAGCTGGGCTTCAGTGCATACAATACAGTTCAGAATCACTTTAGGATTGCAGCATTGCAGTTCCACGATCCTTTAAAAGTTAATTTCATAATGAAATTAACTAATTCGTTAATGAACTTACTAACACATATAATAAATATGTAACAAATAATGGTGACAAAAAGCCTTTTGTCTATAGGTAGCTTAAGCAAAGATCTTTAGGGTGTGTGAACAATGCCAGCATTGTTTTCACTACAACAAATCCTGAAACACATGCAGTCACCTTTTTATTATTCCATTCCATTCTCCTATAAATTATATTGGATTGAGTTATACTGAGTTCATCCGTGCTCAGTTGATGCTCATTTTGATCCTTAAAAGTACTCCTTTAATTTTTTAAAGGAGCATCCCAAAGTACTCTTTCAAAGTATAAAATCCTTTCTTCTTAAACCTCTATGACTACACAGCCAAAATGGTAGTTTCTGTATTGGAAATTCAGTTCTTTATTCTCCATCATAATTTGTACAGTCCTCAAGCTTGACTTTATGTTTTTCTTTCTTCAGATAGTTAACATAACGTGCTTTTAGATTTGATAGCTTCTCATAATATAGGAGTGGACAGACTTCTGGGCCACTTGCAAGCGGATGGGGCAGCAGGTGATGTGCCTCTCATTTTGTAAAGTCCCACCACACAAGTCATAAGCTTCTGCATGTGCATCTCTCTACGCAGGCAAGCAGGAGGCATTATTCCATTTCAAGAACTCATACCAGCCAGGGGGGAATAACAGGAGGGTGTGGAGTAGGGCCAGAGGGGTGTGTCCTGTGGAGAGTTCCAAGGGTCAGATAGAGAGGCCTGGAAAACTTCATTGACACACACACTGCGGCCTGAGGTTCTCCACCCCTGTCATCTGCAACTCTTCAGCACCAGCAGCAATATCTCAAGACATATTGTGTGACACTATAGCACACACCTCTTTTCCAGTTAAGTGTCTGTTTGGCAACTTACCAAAAGCCATCCCTAGTCTTGAAATTAGTAGTCACATGCCTTCATTTATAGTTTATTTTTAGATTGATGCCTTTGGGTTATTTTCCAAATAAATCTTGAAATCTAATACAAAGCATCAACTCATGGCTTTTGTTCTATTTTTGTAGTCCCTAATGGGTACAAATAAATGTACGGCGTTGTGTTCTTCCTACTGGGATATATGCACATCGAAAGCCACTAAAACTGTGCCTCCCCTTCTTGAATATACTGATGCTGCATATAGCTAATTGATGGACATTTCAGTCACTGCTTCACTTTTCCCCTAACAGGCAGATTATGCATCATTTTTAAATAATTAATAAGGAATGAATGTGTGTTTGTAACATAAAAGAAAACCCAAACACTTTTCTTACTTACTTCTACATTGGTCAAACTATACTGGGGAGAGAAGGGCCTGGTCAAAGGCAAGTAGCCAACCTAATGCCCTCCAGATGTTGCTGGCCAGCACGGGCAATAGTCAAGAATGATGTGTGCATTTTTATTATGCATCATATGTTTTAACGTGTGTGTGTGTAAAATAAGTAAGTGATAGAATTTGGGATCCAGCAACATCTGTAGGGCACCATGTTGACTTCCCAGATCTAGGGCAGTGTGATGTGGTCACATTGCTGAAGCTAAGCAAGTGTGAGCCTGGTCTGTGCTTGAATGGAAGGCTACCAGGAAGCCCCATGTGCACTAATTTTAAGACCCGTGATGAAAAGAAGACAGAATATAGATAAAACAAATAACTTTAGTTGCAAAATCAATGTCTTATTTTTGTAAACTGCATTGAGGGTTGTTGTTTTTTTACAATCAAGTGGTGTATAAATTTTCTGAAATAAATAAAATAAATCAGTGCAATTATCTCAATATGATAATGTGCCATGTAGCAACAAGCCATCCTTGTTGTTTATCTCCTCATTCTAAGTGTTATGTTTCTTCTTCCACCATATGTTTGGGATGAGTTCCAAAGACTGTGCCAGCAGAAGGCTGCTCATGCAAACAACCTTTCATCTCCCCTTGAGAAACATCTCCAGACAGTCAAAGGCCTTCCTAAATAGAGCAGTTTGTGTTGTGGAAGAATGCCTGAACTGAGGCAATTCCCCACTTCTCACTGGAACTTCCTAGGACACAGCTCACACTGTTCAGGGAGGCAGCTGCCCTGTGTAAAGGCTTTGGAGAATGGAGTACACAAAGGAAGGAAGGTTGCATATAATCAAAACATACAAATAGAAGACATTCACTTTTATGCCATTAGACATCTTATAAATAAATAAACTTCCCCAAATCCTTGTTTTGTTTGACATGATATCATATTTAGTATATGTGGATTTATTTCAGTTTTGATGCGCATGGAATGATTTGACAGCTTCCATCCTAATCATGCCAAGCATTCCTTGTTTACATTACTGATCCTTCCGAATTCTCATGTCCATTTCTCAACACCTTACCTGAGCATCTTGAAACTGGAGACTTTCTCTCTTCTTTTCCCCCCAGTGATGCCTGTGAAAGCAAAAAGATATTGCAAAGGATGTTATAATACCAAAGAAATACCTTCATTTTCTTGCAGTACCTACCTGCATAATGTTTGTTCAACACCTCTATGAGGTAAAATCATTATTCTGACACTTTTTTTCCTTATTTTGAAATTAATTGCAATTTTTTGTTTTGTTTTCACAAATCATGGTGAGTAGCATTTTAGCAAAGGTTTCTTTTCAAAGCAGCAGCAGCAGCAAAAAAAAAAAAAGTTTTTTGGTCAACCATATTGCTTATCCTCATGGCAAGCAATGTTGTTCAGCATTTATATTCACCTTTTAAATATTAGTAGGCAGAGTCCTGCATTACTGTGGTGGATTACTGGGACGACTGGGAAAAAATACCTGTGACCATATTTAGTTCTGCACTCAATCGGATTTGTGCACGACCTGATTATAACCAAGGGATCTGAAATTACTAGGAGGGAACAAGTGCTATTGATGGGTTATCTGTAGGACCGAAGAACCTATATATGATGGGCAATGATCTAAGCTTGTTCAATGCATTTTTTCAAAATCTATTCTCAAAGCTGCATGGGCATGATTATCCTTTTCCTACTCACCCTACCCTGCATATTTTTATTCTCATTCCTGCTTTCTCACAATAATATGCATTCCCATGGACAGTCAGCTGTTCTTCTACGATATATTTGCAGGATGGAAGATACAATGGTAAGAATGAAACTTTGAAAGGATCATGAATATGAACAACTTCTGATGGAATTGGGTTGACATTTGGGTTGTTTAGACTTTGACTTGGAGAAGATAGACTAAATCCTATGTTTCCCCCTATATGTTAGAGCAAAAAATGTACTGATTATAATTATTTTATTCTATTATACATACACATTAACCATTTTTATAAGTCTATAATCTGACTAGAATTTGCAGTGAATGGGTAAGCAGGGATACATTGGTTTAGTGTGATGGAATAATGTGCAGGATCCCAGAGAGGAGATCGTAGTGGCCTTTGTTCATTCCCAAGCCTTTCGCTGATGTGCTACACTGAACCATGGTTTGACTAGCTTGTCATCCAAACCCAGACTCATTGTTTAGCTCTCTCCAGACAAGCCACAAGTTGTAATCTATAGGACAAACTTTGGTTATAGTTTGTAGTTTGTCTAGAGAGAGCTAAACTATAGCTTAACCTAACGCAGCATCCAAAAACAAAGAAAGACCAAAGCAGCCACAGTTTCCTCTCCAGAAACTTGTGTTTTTGTTCATTTGCACTAAGCCAAATTAGGAAGCTGCCTGGATGGCTCTGAGGTACCCAGTGAGACTTTTCACTTGTTTCTCAAACAGCAAACATCCCATTGCCAAAGCTGTGCAGCAAACCACTTTAGAACTCAATTATCAGAAAAAGCAGTTTAAGGACGGGCAAGCTGATTTTCAAAGAAAACAGTCAAAGGCCCACTTAATGATTTGCTGTGTACAGTATTATAATAAAATATAAAACTATTGTGAATTGATATTCAGGATAAGGGCTTTTTAATAGTGGCACATGATTATCCAATATTGAATGGCACCCTCTACTGAAGTAGCCATGTTTTAAAGCAAATTTTTATGTCTATGATCCAGAGGGGGGCGGGACTTAAATCTATCCATTTTCAACACATTTGGTATTATATAGCAATACCTGGCATATACAATGAGTGATAGTGTTTGGCTTTAGATTTTTGTATTTTCTTTCTCTTTCCTATTCCTTTCCGTTATTCTTCTTTAGCTAGCTATTTAATTAAAGGAGATGGCCACTGTTGGTTGTACTGATGATGAAGGTACTTCCTTCAGCTTCCTCCTACCATAGGTTAAAAGTGTAGCTTTACAGATGGACGTATTCCACATTGCTTTTGCAATTTGAGTGTTAGACCTGGTTTGTAGCATTATTCATGATGCTGGCAACTCAGGAGACCTTGGAAGCAGAGTTCTTACCTGTGTGTGGGTTTTTTAGTCCTGTAGGTGTACTTGGAAAAGTCCTAAATGAAATTTCTTTTTTGAACTTATTAAGCAAAAGTATTTTAAAGTGGGGGCAAAATAAGTAAAGCATGTTTCCAGTGAAAGGTGCAGTTGCTAACACTGACACTGTCTAGGAATCCAAATGAAATGAGGCTGAAATTTCCTTTCTGTATTGTTTACAAAAGGGCTGTATTATTCTTAAATACTTTGTTCTCCTAACATTGTCCCTTTATGATTCTGTCCCTCTATCTCTTTTTTCCCCTCCTTGGCAGGGAAGATAATGTTCTACACCAGTTCTGTTGTCCACCTTCTGGGTCTAGTAGTCCATCTTCAAGATAACAGAGAAGTTCTGAGTCGCTAAACTGTGCAGTCAGAGTTCCACATCTGTACATTCCACTCCCTCTTCTTTCTCTGGCTGGTGTGTATGGAACTGAAACTAACTTGCATGGATACACTAAAGGTTCTGGTTTGCAGCGAATTCAGATATGTTCAGAAGGGCATATGGCTGCCTAATCATTTCCACCCAGCATTTTCTACTACACGTTTTCACAACCCTCTTTATATGTTCTTATGTTATTTTGAACGGCCATAGAATGTAAACCAATATGTAAATATCACATTTTTAAAAAAGAAAATAAAAAGTACCATAAACCTGACTTTTGTACAGTTTTGTTGCATACAGTCCCAGTGACTTTTTCAGTTTATGTTCTAATGACAATTAGTAAGCCTTTAAATAAATCTCATTCTCTCTCTCTCTCTCTCTCTCTCTCTCTCTCTCTCTCTCTCTCGGCCTCCCTCCCTCCCAGCAATTCACAACATTCTTGTTCTGGGCTTTTGCAATACTGTCCAATCTGCAATTTAGAAATGAGCCTGAATTTTTCAATTTTGGGATCTGGGACTACTATTTATCTTACCTTGGTTTTTAAACATCAGATTTTATAAGATTTCAATTGTATCTGTGAGAACCATATTTCCTCAGTGTTTAAGAGCACTTCCGTGCCTTTGACTGTTACCTGAATATCTGTTAAGTGTGTTTCTGAGGGAATATGCTTTGTGTGTATATGACACTGATGGACCCACACTATTTCAATGGGAAGATCAAACCTGACATCGTTGGGATAAAATAATTATATTTCTGTGTTGTGTGGAAGCCCACATGGGTACTTGACGAATGTGGAAATTGCTTTGAAGGTCAATGTAAGGTACGATCCACATGAGAGAAAAAATCGTTCAGTGCAGCCAAACTGACTGGTTGCATTTTATTATGCTGAGCGTTTGATAACCTTTTATATTTTTAACTCCTTTCTTTTTATCTAATATAATGCTGTCCTTTATCTTATACTCCGTTTTTGGTATTCCTTGGCATTAATCCAGTAGTATCTTTCATATTAAGGGAGGCAGTTTTAAGAGCAAAAAAGCAAAATGTATATATGTGTTTTGCCTACCCTGTCAATCCACAAATATTAAGTGCAATGTTCATGTGATTCCATCTGTATAATATTCTTTTAATATAAGATGTTGAGCAATAAGACGGGATGCAGCAATACAAGTTCTGATAAGGATAATGCAGTATCATTGTGTAAATGTCTGGATTTTGCTGGAATTATTAGCCTTTTACTTATTTAGGAAGGAATACCTCACAGAGGGTGAGAATTTATGTTGTTGTGACTTGCTTTTCTTTTTCACAAACAAAAACAATAATTATCCCTGCCCTCAGTGTAGTGATGTATAGCACTGTAATTACTCCTTTTCTCACCCACTGAGATGTCTGGAATCTTTTAATCTAATTATAATTTTGTTTGTGCGTGTAAAGGCAAAAATAGAAGGGCCTATTCTATGTAACGAAGTTCAAAGCATTCATTTTGGGTGCCAGTTTGCAAGATTAATAAAAAGGATGCTGATTAGCCTGGCCATCGTTACAATTAAGTTTGAGGGTTTTTCATCTCTTTCTTTTTTTGCTTTTTGTGAAGGGCAACACAAGTTGGATCTTCGCTACCAGCTGTGGCTGTGGTTGGTTCTGTTCCTTTTTAAGCTTTCCAATTAAGAAGGCAGCCTTTGGACTTGTACGCTCTTGGTGTGTGAAATCCTTTGCATCCGTAAGGTCTTTGAAACAACATTTTTGTGTGTCAGAAAAGCTGACGTTCAGTACTACAGTGGAAGCCGGATATCCCAATTTCCTTTTGAAACATACTTGTATATCTTGTTCTTCTTCAGCACTGGAGCAGGCAGATTTATCCCCTCATTAACATGTTGAGATGTAAGCAGGCAAAGGAATTACTTTATAAAATAGAATAGAAAAACACTGCTGGGGAGAGGGGGAGCCATCCTGTCCACTGAACTTGTTTAAACTTCCATATCTGGCAGCACAGGCTGTATTTTCTACTGTGCATGAATGGATCTTTCAACAAACGTACTTAACATGCACATTTTTAAAAAAGAAAATTGGGAGGATGAAAATAAAGTTCCTTTTGCCAATCTCAATCATGTGTAGCTCCTGCAAAATAAGTTTATAATAACTTGGAGAGAATGGCTTGAACAAAAAGACTCAATTTGGCACTTTACCACTGGGAAAGCTTGGAAATCTGACCACATATTTCTAGCGGGATACAGCTCTGCAATGTGGGTCAGCCCCAGGACATGTGAACTTTAGCTTTTGCCAAAATGTTTTATAATCATTTACTTCCTTGAGATACTTACCAATAGCTCAAAATTTCATGACCTATAATAATGGATGTTTTACTTCCCATTCAATAGAAGAGAAAGCAGTTCAAAACCTACAGTTTTACATAAAATGTAATAATAATAATCAGAATAAGTGCATGTTCCCAGATGGACTTTTGACAAAATAATGAAAGCTGTTTTTCAAATGAAATAAGCATATGCTAGTGAAAATGTCAACATAACGAGGGTTGGTGGTTAATTTTTTTCCTTGTAGTCTTAAATTGAGTATATTTATTTTGCATTATTTTCTAAGTCCTTGCTGAGGAAATGTAACAAAACATGAAATGAATTGCACAAACATATTTGTTTCAAGTAAATGTAGATTAATTTTGGTCTTGGAGTATACAGCTGTCTTTTTCCCCTTTCGCCTTCCTTACATTGTGAGGTGCTGTGCTGGCAAAGGCATTACAGTGATACCTCGGGTTAAGTACTTACCGTAATTGGTTCCGGAGGTCCGTACTTAACCTGAAACTGTTCTTACCCTGAAGCACCACTTTAGCTAATGGGGCCTCCTGCTGCTGCCGTTCCACTGGAGCATGATTTCTGTTCTTATCCTGAAGCAAAGTTCTTAACCTGAAGCACTATTTCTGGGTTAGCGGAGTGTGTAACCTGAAGCGTATGTAACCCAAGGTACCACTGTAATTCCAGTTTTGGCTCTTTTATTCCCTGAACTTTGGCACCATGGCTTATCATTTGCTCAGCTGGGAGATGTCTGCACTGGAGTGACCTACTTCCGTTACCGTGCTTTGTGGGCATACACCCTTTTCATCACTTCCTGCAAGCAGTATTTAATAATAATAATATATATACAGGCTGCAGAATCTTTAAGGGATGCAAAAGTGACTCAACATGCAACCTGATTGGGAATCTGTTATTCAAATAGGCAGAAAGATTACAGCAAAAAGACTGCAGCTCAGATGCAGGATGGCATGAATCTGTGGAGCCCTGCGAAATGTTTGCTCTTAAGGTCTCCTGGACCTGGAGAAAGGGCAGTATGTGAAAGAAGTAGTTGAGAGGTAAGGAAGCAAGAGACATGAGAGACTAATGACAGGCCTGTAACTAGTAGCAGAAGTAAAACAGCTGAGTTTCTTAAATCTATAGGCACATTCACCTGGAAGGGACATGTTACAGATGTCAAGAAAGATCCTTTGGGCTTGTTCTGGCTGATTGGTGTTAAGATTTGCTAATCTGGCTGGCAACTCTTCCGTTCCCCCCTTTATCCTTCAGCCTGCATGGTACACAGGCTCAGTCCTTGCCTGACAACCTCAGGACTTGCTGTAGGCTTGGGACTGTCTGCTCCACAAGTGAGTTTGCCACTTGTTTTAGCTTTGATTCCACAAAGCTACTTCTGCAGCTGGAGTAGGTGGTTCATAATGTGGCTTATGCATTTCCAGAATGTAGGCTGTTGTGCATTTTGTTTCATTCACTGTTGTTTTTTTTAATTAACAAGATAGTGCTGCCTACACACCAAACTTATGATTAATGCATGGTGAGTCATAATACATTCTTGCTTTTAACAAACAGCAGTGTTTAGCATTTAGCATTCAATCTTGTCAGCCTTGTCAAAACTATAAAAATGCAACAGTATGTGAGTCATAGTAATTCAAAATGTGCCTCTTTCTGCAATTGGATTTGAAACAGCTATAAATAGGCTAATCAAGAACAACTTCCATTCTAAAAAATAATGCAACTTGCATTCCACAAGGATATCTGCATATGGAAGCTAGAGGGAGCTCTGATGCTGCGAGTTCCAAAACATCCACATAGCTGTTCAGCATTTCTGGTTGAGATTGTCATTTCTGTTGTGTGTGTGCAAGTCTCTAAAATGCAAAAAAGCTACCATTAGTCTTACCTGTTATTGCTCTGTTCTCTTTAAAAAAAATAGTCCCAGTAACACTGAATATAGTTAGAATAGAATATAATTTTTTTCTTCAGAGCCATGACAGTTCCTCTAGTCTAGTGAGTGCTTCGTCATCTGTTACAATTTATGAAAATTACAGACCTGTTTTAGATATGTTCACTGTTTTCATTGTCATTGAGCCTAGTGTTGACCTTACACCAAAACTTAACCTGGAGGTATGAATGGAAAATTTAAGGAATGGCAGACTTTCATATGTTGGGTCACTGCTGTATCTGCAAACAGGCAGAGATTATGCACACTTTAAATTTACAGAAGCTACTGTGAGGTCATAATACCAGACTTTATACGTAAGCAACACAGGTATGAGAAACTATGGGAAAATAATTTTGACCCAGTAAAAATGTTTGTTGAGTCATTAGAACAGTGATAGCCCACATGGGGCTCTCCATGTATTTAGGATTACATCTCCCATTAGCCAGAATAGTCAGTGGTCAGAGATCATGGGAGTTGCAGTCTGGAACATCTGAAGGCACCACATTTGCTATTCCTTCTCATGCCTATACCACAAATCTTGAGCTAAATTCATTTCATATTTTTAGACAAGGTTAAATAAATTAAGCCAGTGTAAGAGTTTTGGGTTTGTTTTTTAATTTATTAGATAGGCTTGGATTAAACAAAAACAAAAACCCATACACAATCAACCATTTCTGTGTCCCTGCAGAATTAAGGTACTACAGGTTGTTTTTGTGATTTTTGGTGACAGCGAGCCATTCTCATGCTGTGTGGCAGTGTGCTTTTGAAACAGAAGAATTTCAAAAGCACTTCGTAATATAAAATGTGGGTCACAGCAGCTGCTGTTCAAAGAAAAGCATTCAGAAATGCTTCTGGGTATGTGTAAGGCCTTGGGTATACTGAAATGGCTCTTTGAATCCTGGCCTTTTAATTTCCTGCATAATACAGTAGAATTTATTCACTAGTTAAGAAAACAGCAACACATTTTTTTTGTGAGGTACTTTGCAGCAGACAATATTGACAAATCAGTAGGGCACCGGATTCAGGGACACAACAGCTACGTTCAGATTTGGTGGAGACATTAGTGGAGAAAGCAGTTTCTCTGTCAGGCGGACTTTGGTCTTTCAGATTTCAGCAGCACCCTGTGCAAGGCCAAAATTTAGTGCTCCTCCACCTCTTGCCTTCCATTCTGCTCAGTTCACTATGTCATAGCTGCAACACCACCTAGGCTCAGCGCCCAGTGTGGCAGAACTGGGCACACTAAACCCTCTTTCTCTGTGAGCTAAATATAGCCTCTTCACTGATTAATTCAATTATATTATATGTGTCACTTGAGGGTGTTTTGGGTTTTTAGGGTGTGGTGGGGTTTTTGTGGGTTTTTTTGCACAATTTGAGAAAAAAATAGTAACTCTGAAAAAAAGTGCACCTTGGTAAATATGTCAATCACTGAGGAGATGTTAAAAGTAAACTGAAAGTGTGTCCATGTAAAATCTGAGGTATAGGTAATCATAGTAAGTTTCCAGTTGGCTTTAAGAATTGCTTCCATTAGAGTTAATGAAAGTTGGAGACAAAAATGCAAATAGGTTGTTCTTGCCAATTTTCATGTTTAGTTCATCATTTTAAGTTTTTGTCTGAAAATCACACTTCTGTGCTAGATTGAAGAACATGAAGCCATATGCAACATTTTCTCCCTTTCCTGTTCTGAGAAGTACTCAGAATGGCAGGATAAATACACATTCACAATGGTTATTTCCATTTCCCAAGATGACAAAGACCACTTATATAACACATTTTGCTACTTAAATGAATCTATAATTTCTTCCCTTCACACAAACCTCTGTGCAAGGCTTTGAGCAAACTAGTCTCAAAACATTTTTATGAGCAACTCAACTATTCGCCTTATTCACCCTGTTTCTCATACTGTAGTCCTGCACTGCAAAGGCTGCTAACGCTTCCTCAAGAGTTCACAGAACATTTTATCCTTCCACTTATACAGTGGTACATCGGGTTAAGAACGTAATTCATTCTGGAGGTCTGTTCTTAACCTGAAACTGTTCTTAACCTGAGGTACCACTTTAGCTAATGGGGCCTCCTGCTGCCACTGAGCCGCCACCGCACGATTTCTGTTCTTATCCTGAAGCAAAGTTCTTAACCCGAGGTACTAGTTCTGGGTTAACAGAGTCTGTAACCTGAAGCGTCTTTAACCTGAAGCGTCTATAACCCGAGGTACCACTGTATTGCAAAACTTCACTTATGTAAGTGGACCTATGTGCTCCCCTGAAAACTGGTTGTTTTGGGGGATCCTTTGCAAAGAGGAGAGGGAATCAACACA